TATATCATCACGCTTGGACTGCTGAAACCTTCACCTGTTTAAACTCCCACTCAGTCTCACAATTGCAATTAATCCAAAACTCAGCAGCCAGTTTATTGACTGAGGTTGAAGTCTTGGAGGTCTCAATCACTCCAATTTTAGCACCACTTGGGTTTCTGATTGTAATTTTTGTTGTTTTGTAATAGTTAAGATTGAAAGGTGCTTAACACATAATAATACTAATAATAATAGTGATAATAATAGTTATTATTAGTATTATTATTATTAGCTATTATTGCAGGTATTTAGTCATAAACCAAAGTATTGGACAAATTGTAGTTTCGACATTGATTGAGCAATTACAATTCATCCTGAGGTGAGCATGAATGTCTGTACTAAGGTTTTAGATATTTCACTAAATGTTGGCCTGGACAAACTATAAAATGTTGACCTGCTGGTGGCACAAGAGCAATAGTCACAGTTCACCGAAGTCTGTAGGAGTCATCCCCTGGGGGCGGTGAATGTCAGGACAAACTTTTCCAGTAGTATTTCAGTCTGGATCGACTGATAAACAGACTGTTAGATCAACGTTGCCATGCTGCCTTAATGTTATAAAACTAATGTGTGTTAGAGAAGGTAGAAAATCAAAGTGGCGTTGCATTGATTTTTGGCATGTTAACTTGATCCCAGTTTAATGATGGGAATATTTAACTGGGAAGGTAAATGATGCATTCAGTGGTACCAATACTGGTACCTTTGCATACCATGGGGAGCAGGTAAATGATGCATTATGTGGTATTATGGAAAATTACTGTAATAAGGATGGCTGTGGTGGGAATAAATATTTTGAGCTTCAGTGCTTTTAGACCTTTCACTGTGCCTTGTGGAGCTGCATTGTTGGTTTTAGTCTGCATTCGTGGGAAAGCGGAAACCCAATATGCTTTCCATCTTGTGTTTGCATGAATTAGGAGATGTACCGCGGATAATAAAACCAACATTGCTTGCTATAGAGTTTGGGCAGTTTCAGTTGACCTCTATTGTAGTTTGTAATTAGGGATAAAGACAGCCTTGATGCCGCTCTTCTTGTCCAGTTGCACTTTGGTTGACTTCTGTGGTCCATAGCCTAGAAACTGAACACAGATCAAACTTGGGAAGGAAAGCAAAGACAAACATCTTTTCAGGAAGTATACATCCAGTCCACCCATGTCTTACATCCCATATTGATTGTCAATTGACTTATGGGTATGTTTATGTAAGCTTGTTACTCTTACATCCTGTCAAGGTCATTTTTGTGATTGCACCCTTTCTCCTGCTTTCTTTTTCTCTTCGCTCTGCGCTCTGGCCTCCGCTCGTTTGGGTTTGTGGTGAAACTGAGCCTTGCTTCATAAAATTTTCCATCAACAGCAGCAAATAACAACAGGGTCAGATGAGGCGAGTGTGGCCCTCAGCACGCACTATGGAGGCCAGGGCAAGAGGGTCTGGTTTGGCCTGTCCCGTGGAATGCTCTCGTCTTCCGTATGAGGATAGGTTAGCGTAGCGAGCACCATGAAATTGAGATCATCCTTCTGTTGATATGTGAGGCATCATCTGGCATCAATTGTCTTCGCTGCGATGTGTATAATTGCATCCTCACATGCTATCTTTACTCAGAGAGCTGGTGACAGGCTGGTTGATTGTGATGGTGGGATGTTTAGTCACCATCTTGGCTGGGTGGCATTAGGGTGGGAGATGAATGAAGAGGTGAGGCGTTCACTTTCAGCTATTTTGCATGCGTGTTCTGAATAGTTGTTTTATAATAGTATTGTGTTAAGAGGAAATGGGTGGTAAAGCTACATTCTGCCAAGAAATTTGTACCTTCACTCAATTTTCTCAAAGCACTGAGTGACTGCTATTCTAACACACCCTGCTTCCCCTCTAAGTGAGACTATTGATGGTTCCTCCTCTGCCAGCTGGACTGTATGTGACTCAACAAAGTCCCCACTCCCCAACTGGAGAAAACACTCCCTGCTGTTTAGGCCGAGCACCATGTTCAGCACATTCCACAGAAATAGAGAGGGGATTAAATAAACATTACCGTCTGTCTCTAAATGAGTTTACTCAGTAATTATGCATAATGGTAGATCATTAAGGTTGATTAATAGGGGGGTTTATTGTTGTGCTTGTTGGGAATGGTTTGTGCTTCAGAGGAGCACACACTGATGAATCCTGTGCTCTGCTCTGTGTTTCGTCAAATTGTGCCCAAACAAATTTACATTTCCATTCCTCTACTCCTACTGAGCAGATGGTCTGTGTTTTACATTCAGCAATGAGAGCCTGGTAGACCTTTTGGCCATAACCAGAGTGGAAAACTACTGAAGACATGTAATAAAAGAAAAATCACTACAAGACCACTGATGAATGCCTCAACTCTATTTTACATTTTAGTTCACATATGTTGCTGCAAGGAAATGCCATATTTTCTTTTCTTGGGATGTGGACAGATTCAGGCCACCCTGTGGTAAACACATCCCCCTGCCTCTGTTTACTATAGTTACACACACACACACACACACACACACACACACACACACACACACACACACACACACACAATGCACACTTACAGTATCTCCAACAGCCATAATAGTCATTAGTTTAATGATGTCATGTGTTACAATAAGCCCTTTTGTGTATGTGTTTGATTTAACGGAGCTCAAAGAATGTCCAAATGATTTTCCTATTTTGAAAGGGATTTGTATTGTGCGGTCCACATCAAACTTACAGCATATGGCTGCAAGATCCACAGTGAAGCATTTTGATTAATGCAGCGAGTGACTTAAAAGAAAAGTCGTGAGGTTTAACCAACAAAAGAAACCTGAGTTTCCCTAGCAAATCCCCAGCAGACATGGCAGTCACCCAGACGAGTTGTTTCCCCTTTTCTCCGCCTGGCTATAATCCTGAAAAATTAATTTTAAAACCGTACAGACATATTGGTTTGCTCAAACAATTTACTCCCAATCCCCGGGTGCTGTCAGTTTTGTACCAAAGAATTTGGCCTGTGTCACAAAACAAAGCCATGTTGCACAGGACGCCTGTGTTGTCCCAGCCTTTCTCCGTCTGGATCCTGTGTTTGATGCACAGATAGCTGCTGGACCGTTTGAAGCGTGAAAGACGACTTTTGGCCTCTCTTGCCTCGAGGCCTGACACACCAGTGGATAAGGTCTCCCTGCTCGTGCCATGAACAACTCTTCATTAGTCTCATGTCACGATCTGTTTCCTATCGTTTAACACACCGGCGTCTGGCTGCATGATAGAGCCAGCCAAGTTTCCGTTGTTTCACTTCATCAAGCGATAAGACAGAGGAACTAGAGGAGTCTATTGTACACAGGGAGGGGGGTGCTTGGGGTTTGGTGTTAGAAACAGTGTGACGAGGCTTTGCACTGCTCCACCTGTCACTGCTGCTGATGAATTGCTCAGTGTGATCCGTCTCAACAATGACAGAGCGTATAATTTTTCCTGTCTGACCCGGCCTGACTCATGCTCATCACCTCCCGTTCCTGTGCTTGCCATTCATACATTCACTTTCCCCCGTTTCAGTCTCTGCCCCCACACCCGCTCTGTCAGGTGTGAATCCTCCTGAGTATGAAACGCTGTCTGAATATTTTCGCTGATGGATTGCTTTCTGGAACATGAGTTAGCCTGCCATTTGAGTGACACGCCAGAGTGTATAAAATCAAGTAATGGCCATGCAGCAGGATGTTGGGAATTTTTATACAGCCCTCAAAGATAGTTGGAACGTCCTCAGGTCAGGGCTCTGGGCGGACGGAGCAGCTGTTCTTCCGGCATTTTGGGAATTCCTGCCCCTCCCCCTGTCAATGCTGAGGTCGGGAGGTGAACAAGACATCCATGCCCTTTCTTTTCATAGGGTGCTGATGGGCTGTACAGTGTGTCGGAAGACTGTGGATAATAATGCACTTTAAAAAGAAGATAGGAAATTTGGTACTGATAAAAGCAACAGATTCCCACAAATAATGATATTTGAGGCCAGCACTTATGTGTGTGCTTGTAGGAAATGTGTGATGTGACCCCTGCTGTTTGAGCCTGTATTTGATGTTGCAACATGGTGCTCGGGAGGGTCACAGGGTCTGTTTTAATCATAATCCTGTGAAGAGAGATGAGACAGATGAAGCTGGCTGTGTTGCAGTCTCTCTCTCATCTCACCTGGGTCCCAGATCAGGGAACAAAGCCGGTGTTAGCAGACCCAAGGGAGGTGGTACAGGGCCCAGGCGCCTGTCCAGACACACAGACCTCTGATTGGAAGGAGGGAAAGGGTGTATTTGCTTCCCGTAACACGGCGTCTCGTCAGTGCCTCAGGGTTAGCTGACGCTTGGCGGATATGGAAATGCAGACATGCCCAGAGGGCGTGTGTGAGAGTGTGAATGAGTAGGTATTGATGTTATTTAGTTTGGCAGGCCTCCATCATATTTGGCAAAGGTATATTTAAGTTCAAGTATTTGTCAAGAAGAGTAATGGCTCTAGTTTGATTCGCTTGTCTGATGAAATTTTATTGAAAGAGACATATATTTCAGTAATGATCCCCATTGTCTGAGGGCTAAACTGTAAGATTTTGGTAAGAAGTGAAATATGTATTCAGCCACAAGACAATTCGAAGACCACTTTCTCTGTAAAGCTCTGGATCTCTGGTTCCATAAATGAATCACTAAATAACTAATTAAGTAACTCTAAATAGTAACTGAGTAAATAAAAGTTGAGTTTATAATGAGTTTAAAAGTCAGTTTTTCTGCTCTGGAGTTTGCTAAGGCATGGAGCATCAGTTTGAACAATCTACCAGCTACGAGGGGATGCTTTTGGTGTCTTTGTTCTCAATCACTAGCTCACCAGTTTGTCACTCCTCTTCTTCTCTTCTCTGTGTATCAATCTAACTGTAGTTTGACTTTCCTTACTGTAAGGCTTTGCTCAGTAATGCAGAACTGTTCTGATTGGTGCAACAGGTTAAAGTTGTGATTCACCTCCTCTGCCAGGTGGTTCTGTGAAGGCCGTGAGCTTCACAACTCTCCTGACATACAGATCTGGAGGGATGGTAACCTGCACACTCTGGTGATCACTGAAGCCTTTGAGGACGACACAGGACGTTACACCTGCGTGGCTTCCAACAGTCTCGGAGCAGACAACACCTCCGCTGAGGTTTATATCGAAGGTCAGAAATTATTATTATTTTTACTTTTGAGGCATTTAGTCATATATAAGTTAAACTGTACCAATGAGGAGACTAGCCTTTCCTGATCTCTACATTTCACTATATGTTTTACAGCACAATTATTAACAATCACATTGCTTTATGGTACAAACCAGAGCTGCTGTTCTTCTAGCACAACTGAGCTCTTGATGTTAGTGGATAAGAGTGGACATGCTGAAAGGACAAGATTATATATCGCTTTTGTTCAGGATTTATGAGAAATATAGTCAATCTATCTATCAATATTTTGGTAAATACATTTAGCACATTTAAAAACAACAGTTTCCTAGCAATCTGTTGCTGATCTGTCTTTCTTATTAGTATGTTTTACTGTTGAAGAGGTGGCCTGTATCGTATAGAAATAAACATCGCTGCTTTTGTTTTTGTCCCATCACAGGAGCTTCATCATCAGACTCAGAAGGAGAGGGGGCCGTGTCAAAGTCCAGATCAGGAACCATGCCTCAGTACGTGTGTTTCAGCATGACCTCTTGTCACCCAAAGACCCAGTGAACCCCTTGAACAGGTTAACTGAACCCTGCAGCAGCTAATCAAGTCTTCTGCCTTTCACAAGGCCCTTAAAAGGCTCTTAAGGAGCCCTAACCCTGACCCAGGACACAGGCCACACTCTAAATAATGAGAGGTGCAGAGGGTTAATATGGTTAAAAAAGAAAAAGCACCCTGTCAAGATTGTCCCCTGTACTTACTTCCAAATGTTAAATCTTTTTACCCTTTTCCTGCTTTCACTCCTTTTCTCTTGAATCATTTTCTTCTGCTTCATATGAAAAGTAATGTTGAATTGTTAATTTTGTGAAACATTGGACCATGACCTAACATGCATGTGTGTTTTTTTGCAAATCCAGATGTGCATGCATGAACTTTAAAACAACTTTCCTAACATTTCAAAATAAGACACATTTGATTTTTTATTAATTTTTTTTTCAATTTAGCTCTTACTTGACAACAATCTGGCACAAATAAATTTAATTTAGATCCAGATACATGGTGTATTCAAAATTTAGAAACATTTTCTGTTAATAAAATAATGCATTTGGAGGATTTTGCTCTCCATCGAACAGTACCCGCTGTGAGTGATTTTCCTTCTCTAAATGTTTTTGATTATTATCTGTTGTATAAATCTGGTCTACTTCCTGATTCCCTTTCTGTTTACACACTGAAGCCAAGATCACTGATACCATCTCAATTGCTGCGGAAACAATTTTCTTTGATTCAAGTATCATATTTGAACTAAAAGCATATAGATCCGAGAAATGCTTCCCTTTTCAAGTGTTCTTTGTGTGGGTGTGCTGATCTATGGTTTGTTCATTTTAGAGTTCAGAAGAAGACCACTTCAATGTCCCTGACAATACGCTCAGCGTCGCCAAAAACCACTGAGGTCCTTCCTCATCGCTCCACCCTGGTCCAGGCCATGTCTCAGCCCCTGCAGCGGGTAAGCAACTACTGTACACAGTAAATCCACACAAACTCATACACACTATCAAAAATGTGGAAAATTTTCTTTAGAGACCTTTCTGAATAGACTCCACCTGTTCAGAAATTCAGTTTTTATTGTTTTGTAGATGCAGAGCCCGGTGTCGTCATTGTATGGTGGTGAGGTGTCAGGTCCTCCTGTATTCACCAAGGTAAGTCTGCATACACAATATACTATATACACTACATGGTTGGATATGTGATTCCAAACCCATGGTGATTAATGTGCTGCTGAAACCATTTAGTATCAAAAGCATTACTGAGTTTTGAGCACCGATGTTGGCCGATAAGACGTGGCTTGCAGTTTCAGTTCATCCTAAAGGTCTTTGATGGGGTTGAGGTCAGCGCTCTGTGCAGGCAAGTTCTTTCACACAGACATGGAAAACCATTTCTTTAAATGTTTTCGTGCACAGAAGCCTCGGCATGAACCAGACTGTTGCCACAAAGTTTGTAGCATACCATAGTTGAAAATATTTTGTATGAGGTAGCGTTAAGATTTCACTTAATTGGAACTAAGGGGACCCAGCCCTAACCATGAAAAACAGCCCCAGATACATACAGTGCGTACTGACACACGGTACATCATGCATGCAATACATACACGCATACAGTACATACTTAGAACCCAATACACATGTACTCAGACTCCTAGCCTTCCCATAATAACAGTATGCAGTACTGTGGCTTTCAGCAGTGGGGGACAGATAAAACATAAGCTTTGGTGAGAGCTCCTTCTCCAGCTCAAGAACACCCTCTTCCAGCTCAGACTCTTCAACACTCCCCCAACTCCCTCTCTCTCTCCCTCAGGCTGTGGGTCTTGTGATGGTGGGACTGAGACGGGCTGAGGCAGAGCTTCAAACGGCCCTGCCAAACCCACAAGGGGTCAGGTCTCTTTCACTCTCATTCATCCAGTCAGGCCCTAAATCATTTTCCACTTCATTACAAAAAGACATTTGTTTGTCTGAACCCCCACCCGGCCGCCTCCTTTAAAAGCTGTTGCAGGCTTTAATCATCTCAATGAGAGGATGTTCGCCTCTGGTGAAGTCAGCACCGTGACATCACCCATACAACACACACACACACACACACACACACACACACACACACACACACACACACACAAACATTGTCAGACCTATGATACATTGTACAATATTATACATTTCACCCCTTGTGTTCCCAAAATACACCCATGCAAAAAAACACACAGAGAGAAAGAGCACTGAGAGCCTCTTGTTGATGGATACCAGTCTATGTAACCCTGTTAGAGACACTACAGTGGCTTCTCTATCAGCCCCTGTATTTTTTTAAAAAACAATACTTTATTAAGTTTTTCACATATAGAAAACATACAAATAACAATGACCACAGTAATAATAAATAATGTGTAAGTGAACTATACAACAAAATAATGAAAAGATGAAAAAGAAATTAAATAATTCTAAAAATAAAATAAAAAAAGTAAATAAACACAAATAAATAATTGAAAAAGCAGCAGTAGTGATGATCTTCAAGTCAGTGCAACATTCTCATCCTCCAAAAATTCCAAAAAAGGTTTCCACACTTTAACAAACAGTTTTCTTGCCCCTCTAACAATATATGTAAGTCTTTCCAGTGCAAGGTTATCAGCCCCTATGTTGATGTTTTTTTAAGGACTGTAAGCTTTCATATGACTGATTGGATCCGAAGAGGGAGGGTCATCTCAACTACTGTATTGCCCAAAAGCACAATTTTCACATATTTACAGGTGAATTTACTTCAAGTATAGTGGATGAGAGTGTAAGTATGAATAGTCCGCATATAGCAAGAGTCATGTTAGGTATCTTAACAGAATGGACAATAGTTTACTTCTTACTAAAAGCTAACTGCTAGCTTGAACGTAATTAAGTAAGTAAATAATTATACATACATACAATATCAGAAGGTGATCCTGTAAATATCCTCTTTCATAGATTTCCAAAAGGCTGTGAATGATGATAAAAAAGATTTTGAGCAGATGGCTTTTATTTGACAATCTGTCAAATACAACTTGTACTTTCAGTTCATCATTTTCCAAATATTTAAGAAATAATTTCATTTTGAAATACAATACTTTATAAAGTAAATGTTTTTTAAAGCTGTCTACATACACTGACAGCTACTTGGACCAAAACATTTTAGCTGAAGTAGAAACAAATGGACAGAGTGAACAGTCAGATTTATGACTATTTATGGATTGCGTGATGCCCAAAACTAATACCTAAAAGGCTGAACTCAGTTGTCTTTGGCTGAATTTAACTGGTGGGACAGCAACTTGGTGTTCTGCAGTGAAACAGAGTGACTGTTTACAGGCGTTACAGCGTCTACTGTGAGCGCCTTTAGCAATCTCTGTCCCACACTGCACCGTGCTGTAACTCTGAAGCATATTTATTGTTTTCATTACCGGTTTCAGTCTCTTCTCTTCCTCATCATTCTTCACTCACTCATTCATTTTTTATCATTACCTCTCTCTTACTTTATCCCTCCTCTGTGCAGCTGTTGCAGGATGCCCAGGCATCCGAGGGCCAGGTGGTGGTTCTGGAGTGCAGGGTCCGTGGAAGCCCTCCTCTGCAGGTCAGATGGTACCGCCAGGGAGAGGAGATCCTTGACTCCCCTGACTTTCGTATTCTCCAGAAAAGTAAGACATTCTTCTTAGTAATAATTAAATATTTTCTACACTGATTTGACAACTGATATATGCTAATAACCCATATATGTCTGTTTGTCTTCTCATCCTTTCTGCCTATAATATGCTATGAATCAGAGCCTCGATCTGCAGCTGAGCCAGGTATGTAACCTCAGTTCCTCCCAGGTCTATCAAAATATGACTTGGCTAATTCCAACACAGCTTTCATGTTCCCAACCACAGTCAGTGGTTAAAATTAGTAATGGCTTATTAGCTGTGTCTGGAGACTCAAATTGAGTTTGATGGCTTCATTAGCAGCTGCAGGCTTTCACTCGGTTATGACTTCAGCATATCACAACTTAATAAGTCTGTGTCTCACAGGACACTCATTATCACATATATTACAGTCAGAGGGAGTCCCCGTGAAAGTCTGAGACACCCCACCACCATCAATCTCCAACAGACACACACCAAATCACAAATGAACAATGACACACACACCATTTATGTCAGACGGCTTCCCACATGTGTGACTCAGGGGTCATTTCAGGTGTTACTTTCAGGCTGTGAGTCAGTGAGACATCTGTGCTCCTGTGTGTCTGTCTGTTCTTCAAGATTAGTTACATCCATGCTTGTTTGTCTTTACCCACTGCTCTCTGTGTGTCTGACTATGAATAATGATTCACCAGTCTAGATAACATGTCCATCATCAGTCTACGACGTACATAGCTTGTCTTCCTGTCCATCTAATGTCTCTATTACATCTTGTTACAAACAAATCAAGTGTCAACAAGTCACTCCACTCCATACCTATGCAGGTTTCTGTCCTTCAATGTCAAGTCTTTTAATTCTACTCATATAAATCAAGCTTTTAGGATCATGAACGGTTTGCCCATTTAAGGGTTATTGATTTTCGTTGTGGTTTTTTTTTTTTGTCCAGAGGAGATCTGCACCCTGGTGATAGCCGAGGCCTTTCCAGAAGACGGAGGTCTGTTCAGCTGCATCGCATCCAACCCATATGGCTCCATTAACAGCACAGCCCGACTCACCGTCACTGCAGGTGCGTCCAACACAGACACAAAGAGATGGTCATCATGTTGTTACCAGGCACCGTCAGGACACCAACAAGCAGCAAGCATCACAGCTTTGATAGGCAACTTTGTCTGAATGCCATGGCCCAGTTGTCCAACCACCATCGCTGTATATCTGGTTCCATTAGTTTTACCAGTAGCCACAACTTAGCAACCCCCCTGGTTCCAGAAACGTTTCAAGTATTATGTTCCTTGACCTGTCTTGTTAAAGAGAAGAACATAGCTTTAAAATGAATTTGTGAAAGTATAAGAGTTCCTGAAGGTCTACAGGGTCATCAGGTGGGCAGCCTCTCAGTAACTCTTTCGCTGAGTTGGACCCACGACACAGACAGTGTGGTTCAGGACCAACCCCCTCTTTCCTGCACCCACACACTCAAAACAGCCCTAGTTATGTTCAGTTTTGTCTAAAACTTTACCAGTTAACATAATAAGGTAACAGCATGTGAGCTGATAAAATGATTTCATTGTAAAAGGAAACAAAAATGAAAAGCAAATTTTAACTTTATCCACAACAAATGTAACGTGGCAAATGAATCAGGGCTTGGTCACACTAACCTCTAATAGTCCAATGATTACATGGAGGTCCTGTGTTTTGGGATCAGTTCTAAAAGGTATAATGCATGTCTCAGCTAGATGACCATCTTGCTGTGTTTATTGTAGTCTGTATGTAGTCTGTCTGTAGTAGAGGTCAGAGGTGTTAGCTGATGAGCAGCTCTTTGTGAGTATTCTTACAGACAAAACTGTGTTTGTACAGTACAGGACTCACTGCACAGTTAAAAGAAAGGCTGAATAAACAGGAACTGCATCAGCCTGACTAGACCCAGCTGCTACTTTAGACCAGATCAGCTGCAGTACAGTCTTGTGTGTGTGTGTGTGTGTGTGTGTGTGTGTGTGTGTGTGTGTGTGTGTGTGTGTGTGTGTGTGTGTGTGTGTGTGGGGTGTGTGTGTAATCTGCATCTACTGAGGTATGTGGAGGCCACAAGAAAAACTAAACATTAAAGTCCAACATTTTCCACTCTTGTTTGTTTCTGCCAGCAGCCGAGGACTCATCGAGTAATGGCATGTCTGGTGATAGCTCAGGGTTTGAGGATGCGGCAGCCTTCCCCCCTCCTCCCCCACCTACAGAGATCAGCCTCCTAGAGCTGCCACCCAAGATGCCTCATCCCGGCACTGAGGCTTTCCATATCAAGGAGCTTGAGATCTGGCCCAGTGTGTCATCCCTGCCTCCAATACATATGGGCTCAGAGGTGGAGGACAAGCATAGGGGAAAAGGGTCTGTACAGAATGGCGAGCCCCCAAATCCACTATCACTACCCAGTCCGCCTAAAGCGACCACACCGCCACCGCCACCTCCACCGCCACCTCCACCTCTGCCACACTCTGACCTTATGACAGATGTCACAGCTCAAGGTCCAGCCGAGGTGGCACCAGACTCACCTCCATCCCCAGGCAAGCTGTCTCCATCCCCTGGGAAGGACGGTCCTCCGCTGCCTACCAAGCCTAAGCCAAAGCTGTGAGTACCTGTCATATCTCCATGTGTCTGTGCCCTGGGGGCAGGCTAGTCACCAGGGAGGGCTGGTGGGTGGGAGACAGACTGGGAGGCCTGTCTGAGGTCTGGTGGAAATGATAGTGTCTCAGCTTTGTGAAAGGGTTAATAGGGGAATCCCAGGCCTTTTTAGAATAAAAGCATTCCCCTGCCTTTATGCTGGTGTCAATGTGGCATCGTGTTTGCCAGGGCAAGTCTGCCAGCTGCTGCCTGTCTGTGACTGTAAACAGATCTGTGTGGCTTTTGCTGGATGGCTCCTATTGTTTCTGTCTGACCTCGGACTGCATGCCCAGCCCAGGACAGAGCTATTGTTTCTTTTTCCTGAGCACCTTTCTCTAAGCTTTATAGGAATCAGGTAGGATGTCACTGTTATTAGAAGAGAGCTGGGCATTGAATGGCTTTATTTTCAATGGTCCTGTGTTTTGAGATGTCCGCTGTAGACAAGCCTCTTGTGCATGGATCTTTATCTCATTTGCTGATGCATTTCTTTTTCATTTCAGTATTTTTTGCCTTTATTAGAAAGAATACAGTAGAGAGTGTTGACAAGAAATAGGAAACATAAAGAAGGGATGGAAAGTCTCGGGCGCCTGGTTAGCTCAGTCGGCAGAGCTGGCAACCCATTCAGGAGTTGCTGCAGTGGCCCAGGTTCGAATCCAACCTGCAGCCCTTTGCTGCGTGTCATCCCCTCTCTCTCCACCCACCTTTCCTGTCTATCTACAGCTGTCTCTATCATTAAAGCCAACAAAAGGCCAAAAAAATAACTTAAAAGAAGGGATGGAAGGTCTATATTCAGAGTCAAACCAGAGATGTTAGCATCTTTATCCTGGAAATAACAACATACCATACACGAATAATTGTAGTGTGTTCTTTCGCTCTATTGGTTGGTTTTGAGATATTTTTAGCCATGTTAGCAACATTGCTCTAGAGATGTCAGTTTCGGTCTGTCTGTCAGTTGGTTGTTTTTGTCTGTCTACCACTTCGGTCCTCACTAAAGTATCTCGACAACTATAAAATGGATGGTCATTAAATTTTGTACAGACATTCATGATTCCCAGAGGATGGATCCATGAAATTCACCCTTGTGAAATAGTGAAATATGTCAAAAACTATTCCATGGATTTCCATGGCAGTCGCTACAGATATGAATGTCCTCTTCGGGATGAAGTGGAATAACTATGATGACCCCCTAACTTTTTCTCTAGTGCAAAAGGCAGGTTCACTTATTCAGTGAAATATTTCAACTTCAACAAGATGGACTGGCACTAAAGGTTATACAAACATTCATTGTTCCCAGACAGTGAATCATAATGATCCCTGATCCCCTAAATGTTCAGGTATTGCATTTTTGGATGTTTTTCCATAAAACTTGGAACATTCATGACCCCAGACCTTTCATCCAGCGCCATCATCAGGTCAATATTTCTGCTCATGTGATACTTTGATTTAATACCTGCAAAATTAAAGACATTCCCATCTGCCTCGGCTTTACTTTTTGTATGGTATTAATTTGGAAATATTAGCATGCTAAGCTGCTAAGCTAAAGGGGAAACATTCTACCTGTTGAATATTGATATGCTAGCATTGCTGACATTAGCATTTAGCTCAAAGTACCACTGCCACAGCTTCACAGAGCCACCAGCATGGCTGTAGACTATTAGTCTTCTTTTTGCTCTTCTTTTTCACTCACAGTATTATTTATTTGGTTCCTATTACAATGCAAGCCGTACAGCCCATCAACTGCAGATGGTTAACAGTGTTGACGTGTGTTATGACAGACTGCATTTAGACTAAAGCTTGGTTTCAATGCAGTATAGCTTGGTTCTTGCATTGCACAGTCCATTTCCACTGCATGTGTACTGGAGTTGATTTCCTGCTGATGGATGCTACAGTATTGCACAATGTGTTGATGTAAATGTTATGACTTGTTAATTCTGTGCTTCCAGAGCTGAGAATATAGAGGAGGAGACAGAAAATTACAGGTAAATATTTGTCTGTGAGGGTGATGCTCTGGATGTGATTTGAATGGCGCCACATGTAGCCTCATTAATCAAGCTGTCATGGAAGCACACGCAGACAGTAGCAGACGGTAGAAATGAAGACACAGGCCATTTCTGATTCCTTTTATATAAATAACTTTACATTATTTCACTGATTTCATGGATTTATTTGTATGATAAATCAGATGTAGCAGTTATGTGCAGAATTTAGTTTTTTGTTATTTTGTGCCATGGTAAAATATAGTTAATCAGATTGTTTTTAGGGATATGACATATATACATATATACAAAAGGACATTTGTGTCTAGATCAAACATCGATGAATGAGGTAGTAAAGCTGCTTCTCTCAGCATTTATCCACAATAACAACATGGATACACTGCTAAAAATGAATCAGCTCCCAACTGTGAAGCAATTAGAAAGCATAAGCCATCCCTCTCCTGCCCTCTCCCCTTTAAATTCTTTAATTACACAGTAAAAACAGCAGCCCTGCCATTAACCAAAGGTCACATTTCTGCCAGACTGCAATCTATTTCCTCAGGTAACATGTAGGAACAGACACTGACCACTCTCAACCTAAAACCCCTGAGCTTCATTGTATTCTTTTTTTGGCGTGGCACATCCCGTACAGACTTATATATTGTTTCTTGTCTGGGAGCCACATGCTGCTATGAAACATCAACAGAGAAGAGCAAAGCCTGCAGCCTTTGAAAATGCTCCCAGTTTGTTATTTTATTGCTTTTCTTACAATTTACAGGAGTTCCACAACTTTCTAACAAACCACGTTGTTGAAATGCTATAAATTCAATAGACAGAGTGGAAACTATGACCTTTATGTTGTTTATTTTTAGAATAAGGCAATATCATGAAATTGCCTAATTGTTTTACTGCATTTACATAAAGGCAGCAGGGTTCAGTATGGATTGAGTTTTATTATCTGACTGAGAAGCTCACCTAGCTTAAGGCATGAATGTCTAGACTTTAATACTTTAATACTACTACTACACCAAAATTATTTCTAAAGTCTGGATTTCTGTACATTTAAGCTTTTACACCCAAGTAAACGTTATTCATATGCGGATATCCACAAAAGTTATTCTGGGTTTCACAGCGCCCATTATAATATATGAATGGACAGCTGAATTAGATAACATTACACTCTTGGCCTCAGTGTTTATAGGTAGTGGAGAGACATGTTCATGTTCACAAATCTAGAATAAATTGTTCTAAATCATAGAAATAACATACTGGAAGCCTGTGTAAGGGAGGATTTTTGCTTCAATAACACTGAGCTGATGAGATGGAGGAAGTCGTTGTGTGACTTGGCAGGCAGGAGGGACTGCGGGAGACATGACCTGTGAAAACAGACCTGCTGTTTTTTCTGTGCTGAAGGAAGAGAAATCAGGGTCGGTAGGTATTTGGGTTTGATGCCCGGCGTTGATGTCAGACGTCAGGATAAGAATCAAAGGAAATTCTCAGGGGAGAGGTTCAGATCGGCCAGTTGGATCTGAACCAAGCACCAGGTTTGGAGAGAAAGCAGAGTTTTACCACATGGTAGAGAATAGATAGATTGCAAATTGGCAGCATTGTCTCATTGTATTATGCTCCTCTGGAATTCAGCTTTTCTTAGCTGCGTTTTGTAATGTAAATTCTATGCGTAGAAACAAATAATATTTGGTTACTTGCTTTAGTTGGTAAATTTGATGGATGTCTTATCTTCATGTGACACCATGTACAGCTAGTGTTTTTGTGGCCTTCTCATAAACTGGTTTGAGAATTAAGCATACAAAGCAAAAATATTCTGCTAAAATGACCTATTGCTTTAAGCATGTATGTGTTATGTAAGGCAACTAAAGGTAAGTCTTAGGATTGAAGCCTGTTTTATTGTGTGAGATAAACTGGGCTTCCTGCAGAAGGGTCTTAATAAAGACCTGAAAGGATTTGGGAACATGAAACACACAATGAGAAGATACTACGAGACAAGCCATAATTCAGCTGTATGAGACTTGGCATCTCAGCATAAGGTCTTTGCTGCATCTTGGACAGAGTTATGGTCTCTACTGATTCAACAACACTACTCCCCTCAGTTCAGAGCCCTCCAGGGTTCAACCATGCACACGTGACTGTCTGTAAAGCCACATCATGATAGACTGATAACACCTGGAGCTTGTAAATCTGTGTTTGTGTGTGAGCGCTCATACACATGCATGCACATTTTTGTGAGTGTGTGTTGATGGATTAGGTGTCAGTGCTGCTGGTGTCCAGTGTCAGGTTTAGGATATATTGATAAAGGTACATGTTTGCCCAGTGTGACATTTCACAAGAACAGTTAGCTGTAATGACATATCCTTGCCATTACGAGGAAAACGTGCATGTGGTGTGTTTTCACATTTTTGATATACAGTTTTTTGTGTAGCAGCTTTGCTGTTTAAATAATATGTCCAATGTGTTGCTAAGTCAGCTATGTACCTCCAGGTTGTAGGAAAAGTCTACATATGATGCACTGAGACATTAAGGAAAGATAGTTAGCAACCATTTCAAGAAATCACTTCAGTGAGACTGAGGATAGAGATTACAAGACAAAGGAGGAGACAGTAAAGAATGTCAAGCCAGTGCAACACATCGAAGGTGTGACCACCATGATATTGACCGTGATAATAGGGCCAAAGCATTATATTATAGGTTGGGATAATGTCTGGGTGGGCGTCACACACCACGCACAAGTAGCAGAGGCAACAATTATCCTCAAACCATTGCACAGCTTAATCTCTCCTTCATAAGACCAGGAATCAACTTTGACAGTTGTAATTGTTCTCTGGCACGGATTTCATTCCACAAAGTGCTTTTTTATGTATCAGTTGAACTCTCGCTAGCAACGTGTCTGCGGATTGTTTTTAATGCAGCTCTACAGTATGTCAGTATGCTAAAATTACCGATGATGAAAAACAGACACACATCGGCACTCAACAGGACCTCAATTTAGCCTTTTCTTTCTATATGGATTTCATGTTTTTGCAAAGGGTCTAGAGTGAAACAAGTTGTTTGCTGTTTATTTGTTAAGAGATGGTAATAATTACTGATTGACTGACTCATCTATATAGGTTGGTAGCATAAAGCCAGACGGAAGTTGTGTATGTGGATTTAAACAGACCAAAGACCTACTGGACATACGGTCAGCTGTGCCTGTACTTGATTATAAAGAGTTCTGAACTGAGCAGCTAAGGCAAGAGTAGCCTGGGAAAGGAAAGTGGAGGTCAGTCTACGTATGCATGTCAGTGGAGGAAGTAGAAATATTCAGACTCTGAGGGAATTACACGGCAACTAACTGAATACCACTCGCCTTCCAAGCATGTAGGAGAAACTACAGAGGCTACGAAACTTGCGTAAATTGCAGAAGGACCTATTTAGAGCCAGTGTTTGGTTTGTCCGTTCTGGGCCACTGTAGAGACATGTCGGACTCCTCAGAGAAGGATCCGCTCCCTCTGTAGGTTAAAAAATGCTCATTTTAGGGTAACGAAAACAACAATTCTTATTCCTAGGTTATTATACAGTAATGAAAACATACCTATGAATATTATATTTAATTTCTGCCAATAGATCCTCCTAAATGTTACACACTGCACCTTTTAATAAGAATATTCTTTTGATATATAATATAAAATAATCTAGTTAGATATGTATACACTGTTATGTATTAATAAGTTCATTATTAATACATAACATTATATTCATTAGTTTTGAGAACAGAATCGGCAAAACAATAAAATTATGAGATCACATCATTACAATTCCACCAAAAGTTGTAATATAGACTTACTGCCCAGCCCTAACTCACACAAACACACAGGAGCTTAGAATAATGTTGTGTAAGTGACACCATGTGTATCACTTCCCAGCTTTAATGTTTCCAGGCTCTGCATAGTGACACACTGCAGTGATAAAGATGAGGAATGGCCTAATCCACTTTAATATGGCCTGTATTGCATACAGCTTGACCTTATATACCTTATCCCTGTCCGGTGACATAATTGCCATTCCAGTGAGATTAAATGATTTCTGCAGTAGCTCCAAACCTCTTTAACCCCGGTGAGGTTGTTGTCAGGGGAACAGCATGCAAACTGAAGGCAACAAACCGCTCTTTGCCAACAGCCCTCATTAGTCTCCCACTGTCACACACACAACTTGTGTATATAGTGTGAGGCCGCAGAAGGTGATTGGCTGCTGCTGTCTGTCCCTCTCTGTATTTTTTCCTTTTTAGTATTCTACTAGTAGTATTTTTCAGACTTATTGTATCAAATTTAAAGTAGGATCTTTATTCTTTCTTTTTTTGCATTGCTGAGCAAGGAGCTCCAGCTGCCAGGCTTTGTCGCATATCTGCGCTGTGACTCAGAGCTTCCTCTCAGCAGTGTGTTTGTGTTTACGAGGTGCAAGTCATGAACTCCCTAATGAAGTATTAACAATCACTTTCTTGTCGAGGTGTTGCTTGTGGTTTTATGGAACTCGGGAAACATGCATGTTAAAGAACCACATATGGTGCTGGCTACACACTGAAAATGTTGCTTGTGGTTCATCATCATCAAACGTCTAATTAAAAATGGAAGTGAGAAAACACTGACTGTGGATCCGTTCCTTAATGGATACCCTTCGCTTCAGTGAACGCAGGCCAAAGAGGTTTTTGATTACGAGCAAATGGAGAAAAAAAAGGCAGAAACAGAAAGTGAGTTGTCATCAGGGAGAGAAGGAGCTTGTGCAACAGAAAGAAAAAGCAAAATGAAGTCACCGGACGCACAAGAGAGCAGGAAAAGCAGATAATTTCACATCAACCTCCAGAGTCAGAGATGGGCAGTCCTTAAAAGGACATGGGAGACACAGGATTGGCTAAGACGCCAGACCAACTAACCACTGGATTGGTCGGTCGGGCTAGAATGACCTGCATGGAATGGAGAAACTTTCCAAATAAGGAAGAGAGTTGTCAGAGCTGA